CCCATTTTTTACATTGGGAACACCAACAACGGTTTCCGTCTTTCTGAATCCGGACATTGTTTTACCGAACACAACAGACCCTGCGCGTAAAACGTGATGTGTACATTTAAAATTTGTAAACTTCTCAAGACGTTTTTGGGGCACAGATTAAGTGTGTCTATTGGATTAAATTTCAACAGGTGCTTTGATTATTATCAAAACGTTGGATAGGTGTGAATGAAACGAATTTGACTTAACATGGCAGAAGTACCGATTTTAATGCACAAGAAACTTTTTCTCTATTGGATATGAAAAGCATTTGATAGCATACGGGGAATTTATCCACAACGAGGTCCTTCTGTGGCAATTCAGTGATAGTCAATGTAAAGCAGCTCTGATTACCAAGGCGTTGAAATATGTGTTGGAAAATTGATGAGATATTACATTAACAAATCAGCGCATTAATAAATAATTATCGTACTTACCACGACTCTAACACTGAACGCTTTGTTGCTTTGTCAAGTGAAGCAGCCAAATTAAGAATTAGAGTCAGCAGCGTGTGTCTATTTAAAGGTTACAGGCACGTGGTAAACCTCAGTCCACCCCTGAGGGGTCCGAGAGTTTAGTATTCTGATCGTATGACGAGGAAACCGAGAGTAAGAAACTGAAATAATGCTTTCCCTGAAAAAAAAGAGAAGAAATGACTATAACTAGTGTGAAAAAATAACAGTTTAATCGGTAAAATAAAATATTTGATCAGCAGGGATTTGCTAAAGCAAAGGCATAGAAAAAACCAGGAAAGATTTATTACTCGACGTTTCGGGGTCATCGTGACTCCATTATCAAGAGACTAGTTTAAAAACATGCAAATAAGGAAAGGTACAAGAATAGCATAAATTAGAATGAACGGCTTAAACAAACACCTTGGCGCGGATGGAATCCGTTTGCACGTTCAGTGTTGGCTTACGCATGCGAATATACAACATTTCATTAACAAGGCAATCAAATTTGCCGTTACATTTCGCGATGACGTTGAATTGCTCGATCAAGCGTTCAGGCATTTCACTATTGTGCTGGAAGTGGTAGTGTTTGTAGATAGAAGATGATTTCCTTGTGTGCCCTTCTACGCGCTCGTGTAAGTGACCACGAGTATAGCCCACATACCCTGCATCACACAGGTTACATTTAAATTCATAAACGATACATTGTTGGTTAACAATAGGGGGCTTAATTTCGTGTTGCTTAAGCTGTTGATCGAGCTTAGGGCTAACGAACACTGGTTGGACAGTCACGCTTAACTTCGAGCTTAGACTGTTCAGTTGTTGTTTAACATGATTAGCTGACGACTGGTCCTTGAAGGGTAACACTAATCTCACAATCTCCGATGGTACGTCTGGTGATGGACAGGGCTCTGCAGATGAAATCCTTCTCTCAACGAACCGCTTGATTGTAGTTTCAACCAGTGGCTTTGGGTATTTCAAGTTATGAAAAACCCCTCTAAGGCGGTCACATTCCTCGGAGAAGAAAGACCAGTTAGAAGATAATCGATAAGCGCGATCCACCATGGTGTTAACTAGGCTGCGCTTGTACTTAATGTCGACATGACTCTGGAAATGCAGAAGGAGACCCGTGTTGGTTCTTTTGATGTAGACCTTGCTCTCAATCTTTGGTGCACGGTTAAGCAGTTCAGTTCCTAGAAAGGGAAGGGATCCTTCCCGTTCGACTTCCATGGTAAACTGGAGGGAGGGATGGGTAGAGTTAAGGGTGTCTAGAAACTGGCCAGCGGTCACCCTATCAGGCATTACGGTCAGGGTGTCATCGACGTACCTCCGGTAATAGCGCGGAAGTTGACCGTGTTGTTCGAGGTTTTCCTCAATCGAGCACATGAAGACGTTAGCCAGCAACGGTCCAAGGGGAGAACCCATAGCGACTCCATCTGTCTGCTCATATAAAGCACCGTCAAACTGGAAAAGCTGGTTTTTCGTAGCTGCTCGGAGGAGGTCGATTAGGTCCGCTTTAGAGATGTTCAAGCTGTGCGTCTCGTTGAGCCAATCCTGGGCAAAGGCTTTTTCAGCTAAGATCTGTATTGTTTCCTCCAATGGTACATTTGTAAACAATGAGGTGACGTCATAGGAAACTAAAATTTCGCCGTTCTTGATCTCGACGCCTCGTACTTCATCAGCAAAGCGGAATGTGTCTGTCACTGTATATTGGTTGCACGACAGGGGTTTCAATTTGTCGTCAAGCCATTTCGCTAGCGAGTAATTGTAAATAAAATATTGTTTACAAAACCAAAATCATAACTACGTCGCTCTCCAACTTCTCACAAGTTTCTCCGTACAGTATTAATATATTATTCAGCCAACAGTTTTGGAGAATTAATAAAACTTATCAGCCGGACAGTGTTAAATTGACGCAACACTTCATTTTCGAAAGCGTTTATAGCGACATTTGTAACATTGTAAAAGGAAACTTAGTAAGATCATGGAAGGTAAAGGCCTAAAGTTAAGTTCATCATTTTATTTCGCAGACTATGATAAACTTAAGTCAAGTCTTTAGCAACAAATTGTTGCCAATCTAAGATTATTTCGAGGTTTAAATCATGTGCTATTGAATTTTTTTTCAAAACATTTCAGTTTTTTAAAGCGGGAAAAGATTGTTTCCAAATTTATTTTTTTACTGCCCACCTTTTAAAAAAGGAGCTTGTCTTGTTTAATATTCTAGTCGTATGACTGATGAAACCAAAGGAAGAAAATGAAATAAGATTTTCTCTGCAAAGCAAAGATAAATGCGAATAGTTATTGTAAGAAAGACGCGAAAACTTGATAGGTGAAAAAAAAAAGAATTATAAAACAGAGAGGGAACAACGAATACCAGGTGAAAAGATTAAGTTCGATCGGTAAATAGTAAAAAGACCGTTTAGGAACCTGAAAATCCATCGCTTATCAATTTAAAATAAACATCTATCACAAATTAATCTGAGATGTGGCAGTACTGTGCCTTTGTATACACTCTGTATTACCACGGACCCTGAAAAACGTTAAGCTACTTAGGACGGCCAAGGCATAAAACGTTAGACGTGACCAAACGGAGATTTTAGGACAAAAAGAATCTCTGCTTATGGAGGGTTGTCCCATACACCCAAACCGCTGCGAATCGTCAAACCGGAAGTCGATTCGCAGCTAAGTGGTGTTGGGATACCGGCGGTCTGAGAAACCATCTCTTACGACACGGAAACGCATACCGGAACTCAATTTGCAAGAGACTTAGAAAATATTCCGCAAGTGTCTGCGGTAGGGGGTTGAAGATGTCGAATCGTGTCGAATCGTCAGCATTTGCTACACTGTATAGTTTATAATATTCTGACGATAGACTTCCGGTCGTTTCACGCTTTAAGAACGTGGAAGGTTCATGTTGTCATGTTCTCGTACCATGCCACTCATTTTCACTCATTGCTCACGTGCGCGCCTCTCGACTTCCGGTATGTTAACGTATGATTCGACATCCGGTGTGACGATTCGTCAACTACCGTAGACGAATTGTAACGGTTTGGGTGTATTAGACATGTATGAATTTCTGAAGACGTTTTTTTTAAGCACAGATATGGCGTATCTATCGGATAAGATTTACACAGGTGTTTTGATTGTTATCAAAAGGTTGGATAGGTACAAATGAAACGAATTTGACTCATCACAGTAGAAGTATCGATTTTCATGCACAAGAGATTTTCTCTCCATAGAGTATGAAAAACGTTTTATAACACACGGGGGATTTATTCAGAACGACGTCCTTCTATGGTAATTCATGATATGTCAGCGTATGAATCAACATAGTAATGATAAATGTAAGAGCAGCTCTGATTACAAAGGCGTTGGAATATGTCTTGGAAAATTGATGAGATGTTACATTCATAAATTAGCGCATTGACAATTAAATAACGTACTTACCACGACTTTCACTTTGAACGCTTTGTTGCTTTGTAAAGTGAGGCAGCCAAATTTAGAATTAGAGTCAGCAGCATGTGTCTATTTAAAGGTTAAAGGCGCGTGATAAATCTCAGTCCGCCCCTGAGGGGTTCGAGATTGAGTATGCGTTGCAAGACAAGTCGGGGAGAGGTTTGCGGGGAATGTGGCGCTAATTATCAGTACCAGACCCCGGGTAGACCTCTCGCTGGCTAGTGTGCGGGCGAAGAAACGCGCATGACCAAATGCCGATAATGAGGAGCTAACTGCAGACTAGCGTATCCTCTTCCGCAGCAATTGTTTGGTCCCGTCACGCAGTAGGGAGTGAGCAAGAGAGAGAGCGTTGCGTGACGAGACCAAACAACAGCTGCGAAGGAGGCTACGGTAAGTATGGCACCATTGCAGTTTATTTCTGCTCACAGTTATTTAGACACCAGTGACAGCAGACCACAAAATACCTGTGTCTGAGTTTATTTTAGATAAATTTAAAGGGGTTTCTTTTTTCTTCCTCTCCATTGAACGATATTTTCGTAGGAATCTTTGGAAAGTAACTGCTCTTTTTCGTTTACAGATACACAAACACCAATTAGTTAGTTATTAACCCTAACCATTAAAAAAAAACTCTTGTATGCGTTGCATGCCTATGTTCTAGCTTAACCCTTGAACTCCCAAGATCTCATTAGTAATTCACTTTACTGTCCGCTCTACAATTCATATGATGTAAGTTTGGAGAATTTGGTACTAGATCAACTGATAATCCTCTAATTGATATATTTCTTTATTCTCATCACTTGTCTGCGTGAAGTTATATTGAAATTGTAAGGAGAAATTCTATCTTGGTCACTCATGGGAACTAAAGGGTTAAGCCTTCGTGGGTTTTGACCGCAGGGTTTCGCCGCTTAAAACGTTGAATTTACTGGTTTATTTATAATGTCAGGAAAACTGCGGTAATCCATTTATAGGTTTCTTGATCAATAAAAGAAATACTTTGTGATTTTCTCGTCGCGTGGAGCTTGACCAGACTTGAATTCAGCTCAGTTTTGTTGTCTTTATTTTCAGGTTTGGTCAATACTTAGTCTCTACTTTACCAGCGCATCCCTCGAACGAAAACGAATTGAAACTGGATTTGGGTTCATCGTCTGAAGCTACTACTACTGAAGGGGAGGAGGGAGAGGAGATTTTGTCACCGCGACGCATCTGCTTACGAAATGTGATGCTTGAGCTGATTCTGTGCTTGATCTACGCTGAAGGAGGTGAACTGGATCACAGGTAAGTCGAGGAAAATTGCCATTTTTTTTTCTTCTGAATTTTTGATTAAAATGATATCGATTTAGTAAATTTACTTGAAGGAGAACCACAATATATTAGTTCGGTAAAAAAGCAAAACACAAAAGGGGCCGTAAGGAGTAGGAATGGCCAAGGATGGAGGAGACTTACTCGGATTGCTAAACTAAACTAAAAAATGAGCGATGAATAAAGGAGGTAACTCTCTAAAGAAACTGTGGTGCTGCGTCGGTGGGAGAGTATAGCAGGTAATTTAGTGTCAACAACTGAGTTGAAAACGTAAATTGGCCACCGTAAAGAGTAAAAAAGCTCGAAACGTCAACTTTTTTACTCTTTACGGTGGTCAATTTACGTTTTCAACTCAGTTGTTGACACTAAATTAACTGCTGAAAAAATGAGCGGCCAATTTTGTCAAGATGTTTGAATTTAGGCCCCAAAACCAGCCTTTGTTTGGGAAGTGAGCCCACACTCCTCGTTTGGAAACCGAACCTGAGAAGTCGGCTCAAATCGCTTCTAAACAAACTTTTATTCAGCGTGGAAGTTTGTGTTTTGTTAAAATATTGTATGCTTTACAGTTTCGCTGACGCCGTTCAGGAGACTCTCGGATTTGATTGGCTCCTGCTCTTCATTCAAGCCCATCTCCATAACACCACAGTAGTGCGTGCCACTCGCATACTCGTCACCATGCTCAGCAGCGTGCCAGCACTCAACAGATTCCGAGAGGGACTGGGTAGTGGAAGCTGGTTAGATGGTACTGACATCATGTTAAACAAGACAACTTATGTCGTAGCAGGTATGAGCTGATTTATTCTGTGAGAGCAGTAACACTTAAGAGTCTTGCAAGTGAATGATACGGTGGTCTAGTGGTCAGCGCGCTACCAAGATAAATCTTCAAAGTCTAACCCTGACTGACTGGCACAGCTCCCTGCTGGATATTACCAGCTGGTGAAATTTATTATCCTTCAGCTTCACTTCCTGTTTGCTGACATCCAAACTTATCAAACCATTTACGGTTTGCCTTTCCTTTTTTTCCTAATTTACTTTCCACTAATTTTAGTTTATTTGTTTGTTTGTTTGTTTGTTTGTTTGTTGTTTCTTTTTCACAGGTTTCAATGTAGGCTCTGTGGCTGATAACAGACAGAAGTATCAGATCAACAGGGAGGTGTGTAATATCCCAGGATTCTTAATGCTGGAAAAGCTTCTGCCGAAACATATTGATATTCCTGAGATTTATCACCTGGTAATTGCTCTTCTGCTTGGGCACCCTGTGTCTGGTGAGTTATAAGGAGACACTGGCAAATAATTTTGAATTTGGTTTTATCGACTGAGTTGATAATGTAAATTGGCCACTGTGAAGAATTTCTAAATTTGATGTTTTGAAAGTTAGCCCGTCGTCGGAGCGAAACTCTTTTTGGTGCACAATGTACAATATCAACTCAGTTGATTTAACTAAACTACCTTGTAATACCTCTACCGAAGTAGCACCACAGTTTCTTTAGAAACTAGCTCTCCTTAAATGATTTTATATTCTGTCCTGTCCTGCTGATAAATTAGCCAACTTGAAGGGAAACAACTCAACAACTAACACAGGTGATTGCTCTTTTAACCCTTTAACTACCAAGAGTGACTAGCATCTAATTTCTCCTTACAATATCATCCCATATTTAAACATTAAGATCACAAGAATTGACGAAATGATCACCAACTAAAGAAGCTCATGATTGTTAAACAAATTCTCCTTGTCAGCACCTTAGGAACTGTATAGAGAACAGTATGAGAATGTGCATACTGATGTTAGGATGTAAAGGGTTAAGATCGCGAGAATAAAGGAAATGATCACCAACCGAAGAAGCTTTGGATCATGAAACAAATTCTCCTTGTCAATAACGTAGGGAATGTAAACAGAACAGTGGGGAGAATATGTTCACTGATGTTAGGGTGTGAAGTTGACTCAAGAACTGTTTTTTGTCAGATGTGTATTCAGGTGCGCAGTTTGACTGGGACAGTTTGTACTCTGTGTTCTGGTCAAGGTCAGCCTCAGGAGTCAAACTCCCCACCCCCAGTCCCCAGGAGCCTAGTTCGTACAACATCTACTGCCCCGAAGCTGCGCATGTGCTGCTGGCAATGGCGCACATTATGGTCAACGAGGTGAGTGAAACTTCAAAGGTGTTGTAACGCTGATTTTCACTTAAGCATCGCAAGTCCGGCACAGCATATCCTTTAGTAACGTTATCCATCTTAAGCAAACGGTGAAATATATCACGTGCTCCGATTGATTCTAAAAAATCCTACGCCGCCCACTAGTGATCAGGACGGCAACACCGCGGAAGACGTCGCTTGAAAAAGTAATTTATATTTTTGACTAGAACTTGGAAAATTGCTGGATATGTTGACCGCCCCTTAGGGCACCATACCTCAACTTTAACATAACGTATGTAAACAGCGTTTAGTTCCAAATACGAACTCAAATAACATGTCATCGGGGTCATTGGTGATTTCACGTTGTTGTTTTGCAGAGGGCGGCTAAGAAATGTAAAAAGTTTTAAAACATTCGAGCAAAGCTGTTCATTAGATGTTTTGTATCACCACCAAATAGGATGTTTTTTTTTTCTTTTTAGATAGGAATAAGGGACCTTATTCCTATCTAAAAAGGCGTGAGCTTAATTGGGAACCTTGAAGCCCCCTAAACCTAACTCTAAGCTAACGCTGACCCAAGGATTGACTCCGTTTGTTGTGTCCCAACTAAGCACAGTCAAATTGCGTGTTGATCGAAATGAAGTATGCTTTCATCAGGAACATTCTGTCGTCAGGAAACGAGTTGAAAATTTTTAGGGCAAACTTGTTTGATTTGATGGAGCAAACTCGTGGTGATGCGAGCGAACTAATGGGAGGTGAACTCTCATTGGGGTTAAACCTTCAAATACCTACATGAAGTTTTCCATTCACAGCCGTGGCAAGATACAGAGGAGATTTCCTGGCTCAGAGAATATCCAGTGACGCTGATACAGTTCCTAAGTTTCTTGTACCGAAACATCTCCAGCTTCGCTACCGTGTGCACCTCACCAGAATTCCTTGAGAAGCTTGTCGCTGTTTTGTTTCCCAAGAGAAGAAACTTGCTGAAACTTCAAGAGGTATCGAGATGGGAATGGAACCTTATTGTTTCATTTGTATTTTTACTCCTTTGATTTGATTAACGTTCAAATAATTCAGCCATATTATTGTCCAGTCAGAACAATTTTCAACTAAGGGACTTAAGTAATCTGGGAGTGCTTTATTTTTGTTTTTCCTCGCTCTGTGATTGGTCTAGAAAACTCGCGCCATCTTCTCAACCAATCAGAATATAACACGAATACTGCGTCACCCACGTTTTCCCGCGCTTTTGGGAGTTTGCCTATTTTTACTGTGAGTACACATTGGCTAATGATAATATTTCCTTTATGACTGGCCACAGTGATAACACTGGTTTCGGTTTTTTTGAAAGTAAATTAATCACTGCTCTATAACACTAAATTTTAGCACGGAAGAAAGGAGCATGATTATTATATAGTTTCTGAGTCTTAGGAATTGTTGTGTTTCTTTCATCCAGCTTGGATCAGACAGTGAGAATGAGGGGGAACCTGGAGCAGAAACTGAGACTGTCTTCTCGTCCCAGACCCTCCTGATCTCTCACCCAGTGAGGAAATGTGTGTTCGAGTTCCTCAGGGTGATTATGACTGATTCCCTCACTTTAAACTCATCTGCTAAGAGTCTGGGTGTCATTGACACCATTTTAGAGGTAAGCAGAAATCTTACCTCTTTGAAACTATTGGGAAAAGCACGAAATGAAATAATTTTTCCTAAATTCATGATACATAATCATCAATTATCATGCATTTGAATCAATTATCATAGATTATAATAAGGTGTCGAAGAATTTTGTTGTTTTATGCTTTATTTCAAAATGTCATACATTATCATTTTCCATGTAATGTCATAAATTACCATTATTTGCTTAGCATGCATAATCTATGATAAAATTATCATACATTATCATAGTAATGTTTATCACCTGCATATTAATGTTTTTATTACGCACATCACAGTGTTATCCAGTCAAGTGTTCCCAGCCACAGCAAGCAGAATTCCAAACAGAAGTCCTTTGTGTTCAGATTGAGTATTTTCTTGGAGGAAATCTACTCACTAACCCATCAGCAGGGTGTGGCAATCATGCCAAGATTGTGGCAAATGCTTTCTTTTTTGCTTCCAAAGTTGTTGATAAGCTCTGGATTGGTAAGTTTGACAGTTTTCGTTTTCTTGAGTTTCTAGCAGGTAAGGAAACAGAAGCAAAATTCTAGCATACGAAACCCCAGGGGAAACAGCCGTCGATAAAGGTGTAATATTGTTTCTCAAGAGGAATGCGAAAAAACTTATCTCTTCGCCCTCTTCCGCTGGAATAAAAATAATCCACTCGCCATCTCCCATCTCCTGGGGCAGAATGGTCGATCTAGGGATCTTTTTCATCAAAGTTACTATTTGTTAATGTTTGAATTTGAATCTGAATCATACAACTTTCTAAAAATTAAGATAAGGAAATATTCTTTTTTCATTTTTCAGGCAATTTCGTTCACGGGTACAAGACGGTTTTTAACTTCATCACCAGCATGATTGAAGCAGTTAAAGGTAACACCATATTACGGGAACTTCAATTATATTTCTCGTGAATATATGATACATCTCCTTGATTATAAAGGCCGTGTTCCACCCATATCAGTCTGCTGACATGACAAACTTTCCTACGTATAGAAATATCTTAGCTGTGATAATTTTGTAGTTTACCCGCGTCCACGCGAAGGAAATCGCTTCAAGGCGGGTACATTTTGGAAGAGCTGTCCCTGTTTGCATTGGCGCAAGATGCGGGTTGTCTGTTTAGCTGGCAGAAAAGAAATCTAAACGAGGCTTTTCTATAGAAAAAGCTTCTGTCTTAGATTTAATGAAAGGTTATTGAAGTACTTGATACTAAGCTGAAGCACCAGTGATTTGTAATCTTAAATAGATCTGGCAAACTGAGACAAGTTTTGTTTGTCTGTTTATTTATTTCATTCTTTTTTTTTTCCAGGTCAGTCAGTATCGATGGATAGTGCGTACCACTCTCTCAACAGAACTATCTTATACCAACTCTCCAGGCCGCTTGCTCGGCTCACAGGTGAGGAAGGTTTAGCAACTATCATGAAATATTGCGCGTGTATTGAAGGCGCACATTTTACATGCTTGAACACGAGCGAGGAAACCTGGGTTGAGTGCACGAAATTGAGGCTTGAGTGCGTGTAAACCTGCCGTTTTTACACGGTCCAATCGTACAGTGAAAAACTTGACATACGCAATGTTCCTTGAGTTTCGGGTTGTTAACGGTGTTGTGTTATCTCGTCATTTCTTCAGACCAAACCAGTCTTCTGGAGTTTCTCCATATCCTGACTACGAACCACAAGCTGGTGTTTGCATCTGTCAACAACGAGCCGAACTTTATTGCTGGTCTGTGCCACTGGCTTCTTGTCATGGGAACGCACAAATCTTTGGCAGTGAGCGAGAACAACAGTCCTAGCCTGGGAAAAAAGTCGGAAGGTAAGCAACTCAGCGGTCATATTTCGGACAAATCTTTTTTCCAGTCACTAAAAACGGGGAAAAAACATATGCTTGACCTTTAAAATGGAAACTACGGAATATTACTCTCGTATCGTTTTGTTTATTATGATGGACAACTAGTTTTAATCTTGGTTTCCTTTCATGTGCAGCCTTAGTCGGCAGCCTTGATGTTGGTGAAGAGATGACCGAAGTGGTCGGTGCAGATCACGTGTCCGAACAAGAAGAGCTGTCAAGCTGTACCAGGCTTCTTGCTGCTGCGGCCGAGAGGGTCTGGGACATATTTGTTCAGAATAAAAGAGAGGTGAGTGTTATAAGGAAATGATTGTTTCCATGAAAGTTTTTGACAGTTACTTCTGTCTTTTTCAGGTGATTTAATTTCTGTGTGACGCTTTTGTCTTTTTTCTCTTTCTCAGGCTATGGTAGCAGCTCTCAGTGTTGAAATCCCAAAGCCAAGTTTCAAGTCCTACAGTAGCAGCAGAGATTATTATGTAGAACACATGTAAGATTCATTAATCTGCTTTTCGTCTTTGTTTTCCGTAGTCTACAATTTGTTATTTCCTTGTGTGGTTAAAGCACTCAGAGGGTTGTTAGTTGGAATCTTACAGACGCCAGAGCTTATCGTTGAGTCCGTTGCATGAAATGACGTAGAGGTACTGCAATCCCCACCCATCCCACCCTGGATGGGATGCTAGTCCACCCCCACTCCCTAGGATTTCGTAAGCTTACCCTGAGAGTTCGCCGGTATCAGTTTATACTCCTGAGTGGAGAGAGGCATGGGGAGAGTAAAGTGTCTTGCCAAAGAACACAGCGCAATGGCCCGGTTAGGTCTTGAACCCAGACCTCTCGACCTGGAGTTCTGCGCGGAACATCAGTCTTTCGCGTGTCCCAAACCTAAAAACTGTTGTGGTTAGTGTGGATATCATGGTATTTTATCGCAGTTTATTTCAGTCTGATTTCTAATACTTACGCTCTTTAGGCCAATTGGAGGAACAACGAACTTAAATCTGGATCTAAAATCTGTTAGGTAAGGTGTTTTTCATTCTCTGTTGATCATTAACTCTTTGCGGTGCTGCTAACCAAACCAAATGAGACCTTTTTTTTCTGTTTTGTTTCAGGCCGCTGATTGGTGAACAGGCTCTTAAAATGTGGATGACTTACATCTCGCAGGAAGAAAAACTCAAAGCTGAGACTTTAGGACAAACGGTATAGTCAAGCTGGATAAGATTTTTATTTCTCCTTACAATATCACCCCTGAATCGCGCATTAAGGTCAAGAGAATTGAGAAAATTATCACCAACGAAAGAAGCCCTTGATTGTTAAACAAATTATCCTTGCCTTTTGCCATCTTCTTGTTCTTCCTTCCCAATCCTGAGGGATAAAGGCATCTTTTTGACCGAGTTCGAGGTCCATACTGTAAGTTATGGATTGAGTTTTATCCACTCAGATTTATGGCCCAAGCACGAAGAGCGCAGGCCATAACTCCGAGCGGAAAAAAAAAGAGATTCTGTAACTAACAGTACGGACCAAGAAAACGAGGTTAGTAAGATATTTATTACAACTCTGGGTTAAAATGGAGGAGGAAAATTTTAATCAAAACAAACTTTTTAAATTAGCAGGCCGTACAGTGAGATATGCCCCGCTAAATTGATTAGTTTTAGTGCACGTAATAACTGAGAGATACGATAATAATGTTGAACATGGAACATTCGCTCAATACTCAATGTTGCACGAGGACGAAGAAAATCTCCGCGATAAGAGATGGGAAATTGTTCAGGAGAGAGAGTGGAGGATATAAGACGAGGGGTTCAAGTTGTCCAACATGATAAGATAAATTCGTTATTGTTTCACTTTTTTGAAGAAACCGAACGCTAAGGGACGAAGCGGACCCTCGCTTCGAATGCTCAGCACGAAGAAAACCAGGAAGGAGAACAAAGATCCGAAAACTTTACTAAGCGAATCACACCTGTGGAGAATGAAGCACACAAAAGTGGTGCGAGATCTCGTCAGACTTCATCACAAAAATCACCTGCAGGTACAGAGAGGTTTTCTGTTTAAAAAATAGATTCGATGTTCAGTGAACAATCACAGATGGCGTCAGAATGTTGTTAAAACAGAAAGGGGGCACATTCGGGTGAGTTACTGATGATTTTACCACATACTGACGTCTTCTGTGATTTGTTACTACGGCGAAATGTGATTTAAAAAGACGATAACTGTTAATGGTGACGTCATTTATGCATTTGGTCCCCAATAGATCATACGTGGGAACCAATCAAAACGCTCGTAAGATTCACCGTATTTATCACGATTTGAACACCTTCACTCCTAATACTGACCAGCATCTAATTTCTCCCTACAAAATTACCCCTGAATCTCACATTGACGTCACGAGAATAACAGAAATGATCCTCAACTAAAGAACCTCTTAATTGTTAAACAAATTCTCCCTTTCAGCACCGTAGGAAATTTATAGAGAACAGTATGGAGAATATGCATAATGATGTTTGGATGTAAAGGGTTAAATCACTAACAATTTTAGAGTCGAGCTATCAATGAAGGATCTTGACGTTTTGACTTCTATGCAGCTATTCCTGGTCGAGCGAAGACTGGCACGACGGTCAGCTTGCATCCTGCTTCCGTTATATTTGCAAATGTGCTTTTTCTTTCAGAATTATCAGCTGATTTCTAAATCAGTGGCGGAGGAATGGGCCCTAATGGAAACTGACCTGACGCGCGAGCGAGGCTTGTGGGGTCCGGCCAGCAGTTCACAGCTTGACAAGTGGGCGCTGGACATGGTGGAAGGTAACAGTGTTCAAAAGATAATTTCTCCTTGTGGTATTCAGGTGTTATTTAACAGATATGTGTTGAGAATACAGTAAATTATCGGTAGAGCTGGTTAGACTTAAACATGGCGTCTTATTAATATTTTTTGTTAAATTCGAGATATCGACTTCTCTTGTCAAGACATAGAGAAATATTATTCCTCATGTTGGACATAGATGGGTCTCTAAAAATTTGTGACCTAAAGTGAAGTTCGCTCTTCTTTCGTTCACACATTTCCAATCTCAGTGATGCTCCTAATCTCAGGATTCCGGAATTAACTTCTACAGCGTTTATGTCACTAACAGACATTGCATCAGCATCATCTTTTCGATGAAAGAGCTCATTGCTTGCTCTTAATTCTGACGAGAGCACAAATGAAATGAGAACTAGTTAAACGAATACATAAAGAAACACCAATACAGGCGAACTAAATTGCGCTATGAGGATATTACAGTTTTCCTTCGCTGTCTCTGTTTTGATTGTTTCTTTGTGTTACGTGTTATCAGGACCACATCGAATGAGGAAGAAAATGCATCGTAATGACAAGTTTTATCTGCATTACCCATATGACAAGAAGGTGGCAAAGCAAGCCAGAGAGGTTAGTAAATGTAAAAGGAATAATTTGTTGAATTATTTTCACTGTCAAACATAGTGTGGCTCTGAAAAATGAGTCAATTTTTTTTCTTTTGCACTGCCAATGCACTCTTCGTGCGATTTGAAACAATTACAGTGAAACCATCTCAAAAGTGATTGGCTTAATTATAAAACTGGTATAGGGAAAAAAATTTTCACGTTACAATCAAGAATTAACGTGGCCCAAATGGTGTTTTCTGAGAATTTCAACTTAGTGCAACTCATTTTTTATTGGAGAAATGACAGTCGTGAATCGTTCAAGCATATTTTCATACATTACGAATATAAGTTATGTTGTCAGATTTATGATTACACCTCAAGGAACACATTATTAGTCTGATTGCAAAACTATGGGTGAATTTTTGTGGTGCTGCCATGAGTTCCCTTTTAAGTGTAATACTGAAAGGTTTTTATTTTCAACTGTGGCCGGAGAAGGATCTATTTGCAAGGTTCAAAATAGGACATCTCTTTGATTTTTTCCCTTCAGAGGTCTCTAAAACACCGAGCGCCCATAAGTCGCGACAGCAAGATTCATTACAAACTGAGAGGACATGTCATAAGAGGGCTGGGACCAATTGAAGCCCTCACACAGCATCAAGGTGAGCAGCGGTTGTGATCACTTACTACAATGTTGTGTAAGATTTGTCCAATTCTGAGAAAATTCTCTAGGGATTCATTGCAATTTTTTCCCTCCTGTTTGTGTAGTAGTTACTGAAAGAGACGAGAAAAGGGTCACCACTTTGCGGACGATCTCGTCAGAACCGAGCCACATCACAGAAGAAAATGAAGGAAGCGAGGTAGGAAAAAAACAGTATTGGTACAGAAAAACATGCCCCCTGCGGTTCGAGCCCAAGACCTCCCCCGTGTAACCCTGGCCGAGCTAAGTTTTCACTTATTTCTTTGAAAAAATTCAACCAACCGCTTACATGAAATGGCGAACTCGTCTTGGGAGAGAGAGGGAGAGAGAGGGGGGTTTTGGAGACGAACTGGGTGATGCAGCTCGTCAGAATGAGTTGTATTGCCTCGGCAGATAGGATAACCCTATAAGGTAGGACACCTTTTTTTCATGTAAACACTTCGGCTCTTCTACCCGAGACGAGGTGGCCGAAACTGTGTTTGGAGCCCGTGTGTTTTAGTTCAGCGGAGAGACTAGTGGCGGGAAAGGTATCACAACTGGTAACCTCATATAACGCTCCGTAAAGTTGTCTCGAGGGGGAGGGTTGTCCCTGGTACTCAAGACCAAATTAACAGGGTCTAAATCGTCAGTTTAAATTTCTAGCTTGCAGATACATAATAAATTTCTTTGTTTCTCTTACAGGTGGACAACAATCAAACAATTGTCAAACTCCTCGAGGCCGGAGAAACGGTACAACATAGTGATAGTATTTTGGATCAACGTCAGGATCTGAGCCACTGCGCACCTACTCCTCCCATAACCCAACAGTAGTTAACTGATGAAAGGTCAGGGATAATGTTGTGTTAGGGGATGGGTAGGTGCGCAGTTTCCCAGATACTGACATGGATCCGTTTTTTTTTTGTTTTGTTTGTTTTTTCTGTTTTTTTGTTTTTTGTTTTTTTGTACTGAACGTTAGTACAATTGTATTGTTTCGAAAAGTTTCTTCCAGGTCCCGGTTGTTCGAAGATCGGATAACGATGGATAAACCTCTGTCCAGTGGATAACGCTACACGTTTTGGTATCACTTATCTGCTGGATAGCGATTTATCCGTTGGATAGCGTTATCCACCCTTATACAACTGGGCCCAGGTGGATAACTTTGTCAATCCTTCGAAGACTTGGCTTCAGAAGGAAACTGGAATTATATCGCAATTTCTCTCATTGCTAAAGATCCATGAAAACGTTTGTGGTGGTCATTTCTTTAAACAACCATCAAGCTATTCAGAATTTTAGTTCGCTTTTGCTACAATTACTTAATGGATCTTTTTTTTTTTTTTTTTTTTTGCGTCAGATTACCTCCATGTTCCGATGTGCTACAATCCAGGGCATGGACACTGCAGAAGGACTGTTCCTATTTGGAAAAGAACATTTCTATGTAGTAGACGGTGTGACTTTACTATCCACTAAAGAGATCAAGGATATTGACTCGCTACCACAAGGGTAAGCCGGTAAAATGGTTATAAGAATGACCTCGCACTGTGTTCTGATACCTTTTTAACTCGTGAATTGCGCGCATGCGCAAGAGCGAGTTATAGATACGATGTAAGGAATGGCATTCGCTCGCTCGATTGGTCGATTCCTGTAAACTTTTTTTAGATTTTAGGCTTTTGAGTGCATTTTATAGTTTTTGGCGAGCAATAAACAGACGAAATGGCGACCTTTGTTGCTAAGAATAGTGGTGGGGTGAAAAAGAAGCCAATGATAATCTTAAAAGAGTTTTTTTTTTCGTTTTAGTTTCAACAAGCGGCGCCAGCGACTGGCAGGCATGCAAGGATTCACACTGAAATAACAGAACAACCTTCGTTTTTCATAAAATTGTAATTTACAGGCCTTGAACTTGAAAACAATCCGAAGATTCATTGAAAATATCACTTACTGCGAAGCGCTCGGAGTTTACAGATGTTCAAAAGCTTTTTCTGTTATAGCGTGAGATTGAGGACTAAATTGATCATTACGTTTCGTCGCGTGTGTTTTCCCTGTGAGAAGCAACAAAAGATGCCGGCGACTGACGAAATAACAAGTTAACACGAAAATCAGATAACACCTAAACAAACAATTTTAGCTACCGATTTTCAGTGAATTTTTAAAGAACAATTTTCTTTTAAGTTTCAAGACAATTTGAAGATTCAACATACAAACAACGTACTAAAATGCGAAAGTTACACACCACAAAATTGATAAATAGGCCTGAAATGAAATTCTATCTTGTTATTGATCATACGTTGCCTAGCACGTGACCTAAATCTACCCAGGCGGAGATCCAAAATGACGGTGGCATCACTCAAAACTCGTTCCCGTTTGTCTCATTTGATAAAGTGGGAATCGTTAATGTTTTCATTAAGACAGTATTGCCTTGATTTTCTAATATTTACAACGAAAGACAGTAAATTTCACTTTTCACCCACATTTACTTCCAACCTTTTCTTTTGAACCAGAAACAAAAATGATAGACGTTTAAAACACATGACATCATCCACCTTGTCAAATGTAATAGCATGATCATTTCAATTGTAATGCCTTCTTATCCCAACGTTACTTTGTTTCTTTGCTACATTAGCGAACACTGAACTACTGCTAGTACTCTAGATATGACAATCAACCACAAAATTCCCTAAACCAGATAACATTAAACATAATCTAAAAAATCATGTGTCAATTCACGAGTTTGCTCACAGAGCACTTTGATTATTCCACAAGTCAATGGGTTTCCAGCTGGTTATGAGTGTAGATCAAAGAAAAATTTTGCAATGTTTCAAAGCTGGGATAGGAATGCTCTTCAGAGTCTGTAATTTAAAAGTGTTAAAAGTGTTCTAAAAAGAGGCTTTAAGTCTCCGATTACGTAGAAAACTTTCCAGAATGTGATTTGAGGTATTTACTTGTTCTGACTTAGGTGCCGCGGAAGGGGAACGAGTGACGAATATATTTTGGAAGAGATTTGTGTGTTCTTTCCAACTTCATTTAAACTTTTGGTAGTTTTTTTTTGATGAAGTCGTCCTAAAACAAAGTTAATCTACCCACCAGCTTGCCATGAGATTGACGTTTTCAACCACAACATTATGTAAGAATCACTAACATGTCCCTCGTTATTTTAGGACACACGATCCCATCATTCCAAACTCCTCTCATGACAAGCATCGATCGAGCACCAAAGAACGAATGTAAGTTGAAAAAAGTATTTGCTTTTTTTCCTCTCTAATAGACTATGATAGCTTAATTTAATATGTATCTGAAGTCACATCCTTCGATTGTGGTTTCCTTGCTTGCTCCAGTATCTACAAACCAGACAAGAACTGTGTTGTCGTGTCTCCTTGTAGGTGCAGCAAGTGGGCTTATGGAGACATCCGAGAGGTCCACAAAAGGCGTTATCTTTTCCAGGTATGTTTCCTTTGTATTGCAGCGAGTACGTGGCACAAGAAACTTCAGATTCTTAGAAGACTTCGTTGGTTTTCCATACCTTTCGTTTAATGAAGCACATTTATAGGAATTTTCTTTTCATTATTTTTTTTTCATTTCAGGAGACAGCTCTGGAAGTATTTTCCAGTGACGGACGGAATCATTTTCTTGTTTTCCCCAAACCTGTGAGAAGTAAAGTTTACGATAAGTAAGTAATGATATCTTGTTCTTGTTATTCACAAACCCCTGCCAATTTCTACTCGCATAATGTGTGACACTCTTGCTCAATTCAACTACTCTAGCGTGACGCTTGTACGTGACAACTTCACGCATTATTCTCTGGGGTATGACATTTGCGCTTGACTTGCATGACCGATTGACTGATTATTTTTTATCCAGACTCGTGGCCAAAGCATCGACTCTCCGTGAGAACGCCGAGGAGTCGGTTGTGGGTATGAAAAGAGACACAGATGTAGAGGCCGGGTGAGTTCAAATTTGAAACTCTCCTTAGTTGGTTACTTACGTGCCAGTAAGGACAGTAGAGAGAAACTGACATAGGAATCATGTTGACCTTGTTTTACTTCTCTTTTCCAACAGGCTGGGTCTCATTCACACATTAATGGGTGAAAGATCCGTCACTCAGAGATGGGAGGTAAGCGCCAGCAGTCTTTCCCTGCCCAGTCCGTCGTGCAATTTAGAAGTAACCGCGAAAAAAGCGTTGAGTGATTTTTTTTTTCGTTGATTACTTCTGAGTCATGCGACGAGCTGAACTATTGCCCCTAGTTTTAAAAAATATTTTTAGGAAGTAAATTAGCCTGTTAGGGAAAGGGTGTAGAAAGAGCGTGGTGACCCAATGGTCAGCGCGCTGAGTCGATAGGTCTGGGTTCGAGACCCGGCCGTGTCATTGTGTTGTTTATCTGGATCAAAGCTGAGATTCTCCTAGTGCCTCTCTCTCTCCACCCAGGAGCATAAAATTGTACCAGCGAACTGCTAGGGAAACCTGACGAAATACTGGGGGTGAGGGGTGGGGAGTAACTTGTGATAAACCAGCGTCCCACGTAGGGAAGAGGAGAGAAATGCCCTCTGTCACTTTGTTCAACGGAAAGCGGTATAAGCTCTGGCATTATGCGCCATTTGGCTCCCTTCTATAATTGTAATAGCTCCAAGAAGAAATTTCTTTTATCAATTAAAAATTGTTCTGGTTTACGTCTTTGTTATCAGCGTGGTGAAATAACCAACTTCCAGTACCTGATGCACCTCAATACCTTGGCCGGCCGCTCGTATAATGATCTGATGCAATATCCCGTCTTCCCTTGGGTGCTTGCTGATTACGACTCAGAGGTAAAGACAGACACTTTGTAGTTTGAATATCCGCAAGGATCTGGTCTCCTTTTTATCTGTCAAACAAGGACGCGTTAGGAACTGGGAGCTACATTTCCACTTCCCATGTTTGAACGCGTCAAAAAATTGGGTTAAGTCGAGGCTTATCGGTAAATTTCATTCGCTAAATAGATTAAAAAATAACCACACGAAGTTTTCTTTCGTGGTTTAATTTGTTCCATTTGGCTATCCTCTGTGTTTATGAAGCCCCTTCCAGAGACGTTTCCCTGTTGTGCAATGGTATTTGGAAAAAAAATAAACAGCAATTTCCCATCACAAGATTTCTTCCAATGCGTTTCCTCGCTCGCCACACTCATATCTTATGTCCCAAGAAACCTAAGAGATGTCTAGCAGTGTGATCTATCCTTGAGTGTGAATTCTACAGTTTTATGTATTTTGCCCTACGTTGTTTTTGCCTGATCACTAAACTTAGATTGGAATTCTTTATTTATTCTGTATTCCTACAGGAGCTGGATCTTAACAACCCCAAGACTTTCCGCGTCTTCTCCAAGCCAATGGGAGCCCAGTCTAAGGATAGACTGATGCAGTTCCAGAAGAAGTACAGAGAGTGGGAAGATCCTACGGGTAAACACATCTTGCAACAATTTTGGCTTGTTTTGTGCCTAAGCTTACAATGCCAGTATTCAAAGGGAGGAAACTCGCGAAGTACTATCTCCAGATTCCAAAGATGTAGCCTCATGCTCAAATTAGATCTCCCCTCTCTTCGTTTCCAGTTTTACGCACGTAGTGAATGCCACTTTTCTGTTTGGATGTTAGTTGAGAAGACACGTCCTATTTTCTCACAATAAAAAATAACCGCGAGCGAAGGCGTATTTGTAGTCCCAACTGTTTTCACCTAAACCGTCAAAAGGTATGAACTGCCTGAATACACAGGAAAATACTTTCGACCAATAGCTAGTCCTCTTAGCTCGTACAGCTTCTTGTGACGTACAGCCTGAGTGTTGAATATAGCCATGTTACCTTAACACATTTCAAGCATACCAGCGATAATCCTGCTGATTTTGTTTTTATAGGTGAGATTCCGCCGTATCATTATGGGACACACTACTCGTCGACTATGATAGTGGCGTCCTACCTTATCAGACTTGAGCCGTTTACACAGCATTTTCTCAGAGTTCAGGTAATGGTCTTTACTTAGCCTTTGTGCCATACCTGTAATTTGACAGTGAGAACAGCCATCCTTATAAGCTTTGTAGGATAATGAATCATGCGGTTTGTATTTTTAATCTATTTTTATAAACATTTATGTTGATTCTTTTTATGAGTGAGCACGGCACCATTGCAAAAACAACAGCCAATCATTTGAATCTTAAACAACACAGTGGGCCAATCAGATCTTAAGCAAATTCCTTAGCTTTTTCAACCAATCGCAAAGTGTTTAAACCAAAGTACTTTGAGGAAATGAGCGACACTCGATCAAAAGCCGTTTCTTTTTCACCTGTTTCAAATCACTAGGTAATCTTTTATTTTTCTGTTCAATATTTCTAATCTTTATTTTTCGTCATCTTTCCAGGGAAATTTTGACCTTCCTGACCGTTTGTTTCACTCGATCAGAGACGCATGGATCTCCGCAGCGCAAACCAACATGGCGGACGTCAAGGAGCTGATTCCCGAGTTCTTCTATCTCCCAGAATTCCTCACAAACCACAACAAGTTCGAACTGGGAACCAAGCAAAACGGCGAAGTCCTAGGTGATGTTTGTCTGCCAACATGGGCCAAGGGTGACCCGCGGGAATTTATTCGACTTCATAGAAAGGTATGATCAAGTGGTAAACTTGTCCTAGGTGACCAAATGAAACGCCAGGACGCTCTCGGTTTTGTTGTCTGCGTTGGCAGTTTAGGCGGGAAGTAAACACATGTTTGCCCGTGGTGTTAGGTTTCGCGGAGAATTTCACACCCGCTACTCTGCAGTGGTAGCTTTGGTGGGAATTAAACACGCGTTTGACGATGATGCAGGTTGTGGCGGAGGTTTCACGCGGAGGTTTGTCAGTGATAACAGTTTCAGCGGGAATTTAACACGTCTGACCATGTTGTTAGTGTTTACAGTAATTTTCCGTGCGCTACTAAGTGGTGGCATTTTTGGCAGGAATTCAACACACATTTGTCGCTGCTGCAGGTTTTGGCGGGAGTTGCAAACGCGTTCGTCAATGATAAAAGCTTTGGCGGGAATTTAGCGCGCGTTTGTCCGCTGTGAAGATGTAACGTGGCTCACATGCTATATGTTTCGTTTCCAGGCTCTAGAGTGTGATTACGTCAGTGCTCATCTCCACGAGTGGATTGATTTGATCTTTGGATACAAACAGCAGGGTCCTGCCGCTGTTGAAGCCAACAATGTGTTCTACTTCTATTATTACGAGAGCAATGTTGATATCCTTTACACTGACTTCACTTTCGTTTAAGTTTTAATCTCTTAACGTGTTCTTGTGTATCATGAAATTGATGTCTGAATCGTTTTTACTGGTTTTATGCGCTTTTTTGTCCTTAATTACGTTCAGATTTCCATCGCATTGATGATCCAATCAAGAGAAAATCAATCATTAGTATGATCGACAACTTTGGACAAACTCCAAAACAGGTAAAAGTTTGTGGCCTCTTCAGGTGAAATATTAAGTGTATCATCAAGTCCTTGGTTAACTGGAACGTTTCTTGATCAAGTCATTTTAAGGGTCGGATGGCTTGGTAGTCTTCAAAAGTTCCACACCCCTCCCCCCCTCCACCAAGAATTTTGTCCTGTTCCTCTCACACTTTGCCAGAACCCTTTCTTATGGTCATTGGTAACAAGGTCTCCGCAATCTTACTGTAAGACCCTGAATTAAGTGCATAATTAATACAATACATTTTTGGTCGTTTTGTTCATTAATCACGCAGTCATTCACTCTTAAATCCTACCATTCGTCAATTCAGTCTCTCGTTCATTCGTTCGTGCATTCGTGCGTTCGTGCGTTCGTACGTGCCTACGTACGTTCGTTTGTTCGTTTTTCACTCATGTAGTCATTCACTCTCATTCATTCATTCGTTCTCTCGTTCACTTATTCAGTCAGTCAGTCACTCGCTCTTTCATTCGTTTGTTAATTAAATTAATTAATCGATCATTATTATTTTCCCAGCTCTTCAAACGTCCCCACCCTCCCAAGAGAGTGTTTCGTAGCGTGGAGTCTGACTCCCAGACCGGTGCGTTGGTCAATGTCGATCGACTGTTTTTTCACAATCTGCCTAACTTAGTGCCTTCAGCTCAGCCTGTCAAAGGTAAGTCACCATGTTAAAGACCAAAAAACACACGTTTCATGCATTACTAGGACTGGCAACTTTAATAGTGTCGTGAGCGATTCCAGGTTAGCAAACACAGGAAACTGCCGGAAATTTTTGTTTTTTTCTGTCAGAGCTGAAAGGTCCTGTGGGACAGATGATTCAAACTGACAACCGGGGGCTTCTGGCTGTGGAGAAAAACAAAGTAAGGAAATTTTTTTTTCATATTGTGGCACATTTGGAAGTGAAGATTATTTTTATTCCATTCAAGACAATTACTCATATGTTTTTGTTCTTTTCTTTTAGGTGTTGGTTCCGCCTCATAACAACCGCTACATCGCCTGGGGGTTTGGTGACTCGAGCATGCGTACTGGGTTCTATGAAACAGAGAGGGTAATTACCGTACTCGCTCACGGACTTTTGTATTCAGTTTTCATGAATACGTCTACGATAAAGTGTCGATTGTCGGACGGAAAAAATTTAGAGTTCCCCCTTTGGCTCTGATTCTCAGTCAGTTCTAATCTTGTTCTCCGACGCTCCGCCCCCCTCCCCTTCTCCATTGACCTATAGAGACAATGGCGATCTGGACTACGTTCATATGTTGATATGTTAATCAATCATTCATCTTTTTTTTCGATGATCTCTTCCAGATCTTAGCCGTCTACGAGAACTTTCACATAGGGCAAGTTCTATGCGCGTCGTGCCCAGACTCCCACACTCTTATCACTGGAGGAACAAGCACGGTTAGTATGACAAGTCAAGTCGTTTGCATGACGCGCAGAAACTACGCTTTAGCTCAGGGTATAGAAAAGAGGAAGGAGGTCGAAATGGTGAATTGTATAAAGGACTCAGTATATTGACTGTGATTGTGCTAATTGATCTTGATCTCGAGACTTGTTAATGCGACATTTCATTTCACGTGCTTGCCTCCATTGAATTTTTCGTATCTAGTAAATAACTTACAAGTTTCTCTGTTGTTATGATGCAGCTTGTTTGTGTGTGGGACATGATGAAAGGAAGGGAGAGAAGACCGCAGATTATTTTACACGAGGTGAGTCAAATATTCTCCACACCAAGGGGATTTTTCAAAGGAACAGCACTTTGTCAGCGTTTCAGTAGAATCTTGACGTACCCCCCCCCCCCCGCCTCTTCAACCCCTACTTGCTTCCGGGCACCTCCCCTAGCCACACCCTTCCTCACTCTACCCTTGAGTGGCTTTCATTGTCGTTCCCAAAACGCTATTTAAGTTACTAAGTCTAATGGTTGTACAATTTTGATTGACAGGTGTTATACGGGCACCACGCGTCTGTCACGTGCCTAGCAGTATCTACAGCCTACAATCTTATTATCAGCGGTTCTGAGGTAAGAGTTTGCTTGATTGCTAAGGTCTGGTCGCCGGAATGAAAGGGATTCGTATTTGTACAAGTAACGAATGCATTTACGTAAAACCTGCTGCAATAAACCTAATGATTTCCTTGTATTAACCTCTTGCCCCAAAGAGTGTCTAGCATCTAATTTTTCCTTACAATATCACACCTGAATTACAGATTAAAGATAAAAGAAATGATCACCGACTAAAGAAGCTCTTTATCGATAAACAAATTCTCCTTGTCAGCACCCAAGGAAACGTATGAAGAACAGTATGGAGAACATGCATACTGATGTCAAGGTGTAAATGTTAAACCCTCCTGGTGTACTTGGCTTGTGGAACGAGTTTGTTTTGTTCATCGACAGTGATTTATCTATATCCTCTACAAGTAAAGGAACGATCTTATCAATTTATCAATAACGCAGTTATTAAAGACATTTCAGAAAAGAAGTCTTTAAAATTCAGGCTTCGACGGAATTCTAACGCGTTCCTCTCAGATACTAGTAACTGAGATACGAAGCCACGTATTAAGGGCGAGGTAAATTTTAGTATCATTTATTTCATGAGATTTTAACTTACTCCTTTGCAGGATCAGACATGTATTGTTTGGGACTTGAGCAAATTGACTTACGTCCGACAGTTGTCTCAACACATGGCACCAATCACTGCCATAGCTATCAATGATCTAACGGTAAGCAAACAACTCTCTGTTATTTGGATCAATTTCTGTATCTGAGAAAATGCTCACCTGAATGCTTGACTGTTGTTGGGTTGAGGGAAGGGTAGGTGCGTAGTCGCTCAGATAAGATTCGGCGCAAAGAAAACCCGACATTTGAAATCCAATGTACCGAGCTTGTAGGGTACACTCTTCTCTCAATCGTCAGATCCTTGTTTTATTGCTCATTATCAACATTCACCATGTCACAAACTTAGTACACTCTCTCCTAAAACCTATTTTTCTGCTCATTGCGTCTTCTATTTCAATTTTAACCCAACCGTGAATGCGTTACAAGTGTCATGTCACGCAACTTCCGTTTAGCAACCTACACATTGACAGCCTCTGTTTTATTTTCCTTTTTTACTTCCAGGGAGATATCGCGACTTGCGCCGGAACATATCTCTACGTTTGGTCTGTCAATGGGCAGCTGATTGTAAAAGAGAACACTTCATTACAGAACACCAACCATATACAATGCTGTGCCATGTCCGAGGTGCGTCAGACAACGTGCAACAGACAACGTGCAACAGACAACGTGCAACAGACAACGTGCAACAGACAACGTGCAACAGACAACGTGCAACAGACAACGTGCAACAGACAACGTGCAACAACTCTTAAGCTCTCCCAGACTATTTCATTTTTCTTTTATTTACGTTATTTGTGGGACTTGAGAATTGTACCTCTACAACTTTCCCTGGTTCGATACGACGAAGCTCTGCTCATGCGCCTCGCAACTCGATTTTTCTCCACTATTCAGGAGCAGTGGCGAACTCCTAATGACCCACTTACTCCTTGGAGTGAGGGGTGACCATTTAGTAATTTCTCCTCACTATATCAATACATTTTAAAGCGGAAAGGTGACTAGAATTAAAAAAAAATGAACTAACTATGTGATATTTCACTGTCGTTTCATGTCACTAACAAGCATGCAAGCTGACTCTTTTACGGCGAACTTATCATGAAATTTCAAACTTCAGCTGGTATTTTTAAATCGACTTCACGCTTTTTCTACCTGACATCTGCGATTCAATCCAGTTTTTTCTTTTCAAATGTGACATTCTAATATTATGTTTATTTTACAGCTTTCTGAATGGGATGAGGAAAATGTTATTCTCACGGGCTCTATAGACGGTGTCGTACGGGTAAGCATAATTTTATTTTTCCTTCTGTTCATCTTTTTTTTCAAAGACAGATTTTTTTTTAGCTCAAATATTTACTCGTGTTGTCGTTGCAGATGTGGGGGATCGAATTCTACGACGAGGCGGCGAAAACCCGCCGAAGTATGAAATCAGTATCTCCGAAAACTGACGAAACTCCGTCAAAGAACTCGGAACTAAAAGGTAAAGATGCAGAGGACGCACCACAGGAGACTGGGACTGAGGAATTAGTAACGGAATCGTGTTCGGATCTAGACTCCTCTCTAAAGCGCGAAAACGCGTCGGCCGATCAGATCCCGCAGCCCAACCAGTCAGTTGTTACCTCTGAACAAGCAGACCTTCGACCTGAATTGGCAAAAGAGACTTTGGAGGAAAAACTCAGCGATCACGTGAGGCCTACGGCAGCAGAGGACGTTGAGTTGACTGAAGTAGTGGAGAGAAGACGTCATATGACACCTAACCTGCGTGATGAAAGTATAGAAGAGGAGTACGTCATAATTACCCATAAGAGAAACTGCGAGAGTAAAGACTTGCCTAAACCAGGTATGTATAGAGCGCATCCCGGTTCAGGGTCATAAAACCAAAACCAAAGTAACTACATCAGCCAATCAGAACCAAGGGAAAATCACAAGCAGCCAATGAGAGCTCAGAATGAAAAACGCAAACTGCTTTAAGCGCGGGAAAACGCGGGCGACCAAGTTGTGATTAGATTTAGGTTTGCATCTGATTGGTTAAGAAAAGTGGCGCTAGTTTTCTGGGCCAATCACAGAGCTTAGAAAATCAAAACAAAAGCAACCACTTCAACTCTCAGCTAAAAATTTCTCTATCATTTCTTTGAATATTAGAAACAATTTTGAGTTTAGCTTCTGTCTTAAGAAGCTGGAGAGTATTTTATAATCATATATGTTGATGTGACTGACGTTTCGAGCCCATGAGTGGAGCGGATGGCTCCATCGCATTCAACTAAACCTTTGATACTTGACTTTGTTGATAACCTCCCGGCACCCAGGTTGTCGAAATGTCATTCGCTGACAAAAGTTATGACGATCACCCGACAGAATCAGCTGTTACTCCCGGATTCAAACAAATTGCTGAATGATTTTTTTTTCTGTTTCGTACCATTTAAAGTGTGGAGAAGACGCCTGGTGCTCAGACATAAGCTGACAATGCACACAGCGTTTGCCAGAGAAGATAATTCAGCTCCAGCGGCCATTACATCTTTACTTGTGTCGAAGTGAGTTTTGTGATTTCTGTGAACTGACCAATCGATCGACAGAGAGAACGACCGACCGAACAGCCGGCCGAACGAACGATCGACCGACTGAACGAAGACAGGAACGTCTGACTTTTCGATTGATCGAAGAACGAACGAATGAACGAACGGCAAAAGACGAACGATAAACGACGAACGGTGAATAAAGAACGATCAACAATGAACAACGAACAAGCGAACGAACGAAGGAAAAGCGGAGAAACGTACCGACCATCTAATAAACAAACGAAGAAACGAGCAAGCGAGCGAAAGAACGACCGAACGAACGACCTACGAATGAACGAACGAACGAACCGACGGACTACGAACGGAGCGACTGACGCATTTTTAAAACATCTTTTAACACAGCCAGATATTTTTTCGGCTCTTGTTGTTGTCAATGATCATGTAAAGGATTCAGCCACCCTTCTCTCTGAATTAAATACCGATCGTTTTCCACTTTTTACAGGGATCATCGCAAGTTATTTGTTGGAGATTTCCGCGGACGGATCTACAGTTGGTCTGTGACTGACGCCGCAGGTATGGACCGATCATGCTGATAAATACACACACATAACATTATCACGTATCTTACACACAAAGATCCATGGGATTTTTAGAATTACTATTATAGTATAGACTATCCGTTGATATCTTCTATGTATTCCTGCAGGTCGTATGGCTGACCATTGGGTGAAGGACGAATTTGCTGACATTTGCGCAGGTTGTGGAATTAGATTCAAGTTCATTGAGAGGCGCCATCACTGCAGGGATTGTGGGAAGGTTTTCTGTGCAAGGTAATTCATAATCTTTGGGGTTTGGCTTTCCCAAGAGTTGTCTAATGCTAAAGACGTTTGTGGTGTTCGTCGGGAGAAATTGTGATTTGCATGTGGTTACAAGATACCTCTTACTAGTTGAGTTCGAGGTCTGTACTATAAGTTATTGACTAACGAGGTTCCTTAACTTACTGCGCAGACCGAAAAAACAAGGCGAGTAAGATATTTGACCCTTTAACTCCCAGAGGTGATTAATATCGAACTTCTCCCTGCAATATCCCTACATTATCCAAGAAACAGGTAATGAGAATGCTCAAACATATCAAGTGGAAGTTGTTGTCTTGATCTAGCACCAAATTCTTGAAACTAATTTAAAAGGAACTGTTCAGTAGCTGGAGGGGAGAATTGACTATCAGATCTTGGGAGTTAAAGGATTGGTGCATCTCTTGGTTCAAATATAGGGGGGAAGATTTCAATATCAACAAACTTTGAATTTAACTGAGAGATATAAAAAAACAGTTTCACTCATAAATTCTATGTTGTCGTGCGTCTGTTCAGTAATAGATCACAGATGACATCGAGATGTGGCAGGAACAAAAAAAGAATTGCATGAGGCGCAGCGAATTGTGTCACTGATGTTTCTACTAAACAGACACGTGGACAATAAGACAATAAGAGCTAATCTTTATCGACTGGTTTGCTTCCATCGATTTCATTTACTTAGTTTACTACTTAAGAATATTTCCTGTCCTTTGGTTTTTCAGATGCAGTAGTTACGAGTCAGAGATCAGCCGTCTTGGGATCCATGCTCCCGTCCGCGTGTGTCACTCGTGCTACAAGAAACTGAAAAAAGCATCCAAGAAGGCCAAGAGCTAACGTTCAATTCTTGGTAATTCCTACATTCCAAATTCAATTCTGTATCTGGACGTGCCTCTGAATAAGATTGCAGATACAAACTCACCAATCATGGAAAATACTATTGATGTGATTACAATTACAGTAATCAGTATCTGAGCAACTGCCCACCTACCCCTCCCTTAACCCAAAATTAACCCCTACTTGTTATCAGTTGACTGTTGTTGGGTTGAGGGAGGGGTTGGGTGTGTGCAGTTGCTCAGATACTGACACTGATCTGTCACATCATCAGAAGGAAGGCAATGGAAGCAGAAGTATTTTTATCATTTTTTTTCTTATTTTTTTGTTATTACCATTGAGAATATAATGGCATGAACTATCATACTCCTTATATTTGACATGAAGAGAACATTTCTGTCACACAAGGTCATTAGAAGGCATGACAAGAATTTTTGAAGAGACCACTACACAAAGAGAGCAATACTTTTAGTCCTGTTTGGGTCAGAATTGTTCTGTTCAACCCTTTAACTCCATGAAGTGATTAACATGAAACTTCTCCCTATAATATCCTTACATTATCCAGCAAACAGGTAATGAGAATTCTCAAACTTATCAGGTAGAATTTGTTATCCTTATCTAACACCAAATTCTCATAACTAATTTACAAGGAAAGGTATAACAGCTAGAAGGGGTTAAAATCAATAATAACAACAACAACAACAAGGACACACCAAACTGGTGAACTTTACAACTCAATCATTTTTAAAGTAGAAGTAGAATTTTAACATTTAGCAACTAGGAACTTATTTTTAATAATTTAGTCTTGATCATAGGAAACATTTTAACAGATACGTATTGCTACTAATATACAGCTTAAACTGACACAACCCCCCCCCTTTTTTTTTTTTTTTGGATGTTTAGAATTAATTCAATTTCATTTGGTATTCGTCTGCAGAAAATTTCTGAAAATTTATTTTCAAATGGTCATTCCCTATGAATGAAAAGTCAAATTAATTTAATGGGATGCCCAGACACAAGAACTTAACCTCTTCAATGGTTAATCTATTTTTGTCTGCACTGCTGAGTTTCATCAATTCATAACATCTGTGACAGTGGAAAGTAATGTTAGTGTTCCTATGGTGCCAATGAAATTTCATGTAGCCTTATGTAGTTTAATAATGTTCACATGATGTCAATAAAAAAGGAATAATATAGATCCCATATTGAACCAGTGTGGCTGGTAGAATACCGCACAAGGATGATAAGGGAATCTATGTTGAGGTTCTACTGGTGATAGCTAATATATTTTGTAAGTAATGAAGTAATTATTGACTGATAAAACTATATGTGAACAAGAGGAATAATTTGTAAATATCTTATTCTCCCTGGAGCACATTAAAATGTAGGCATGTATGCCTCAAACTCTAGCAGCCACAGACATAAGTGTGAAGAGTTATTTGCGTATTGTAGTTTAAAGGTGAGCAAAACACAAGGGTCATCTACCAAGTACAGAAAAATGGGAAACTGGTTTCAAAGCAAGTCATGATCATGGACTGATCTAAATTCACCACAGAAAACTTTTTTGACATCTTCAATTTTCATAGAAAACTCTGGCAGATTTTGTCTTGTACTCTCAAGAGTTAAATTATGATACGACACATCAGTGTTGCAGTAAAAATGTTGGCATACATGAAAATACCTCAACTCAAGGTCTACCAACAACTGAGTGTATCCAAAGCTTTGTGACTAAAATGAGTCTTTTCCATGGTAAAATAAAAACAAGGCAACTGCAGCATTCACCACAAGTCCCAAGAGACCAATTGAGGGCCAACCATAGTTCTTGTACATGATACTTCCCATGGTTGGGGAGACAGTTCGTATAAGGGAGTTGGTTGCCATGGAGAGACCTAACACAGCACCTGTTTTAGTGACTGTCACACTTTTTGTCATGGCTGACGTTGTGATGACATTCAGTGTTGTCCCACCAACTACCATTGGGATGATTACAATGCAAAACTGGTAAATGTCTGTCACCATGTACTAAAAGGAAATGATTGGATAAGAAATGATCAAAATTTGCATTAATTTGTGAGCCACTCTAAGGCTAGTCTGTAAGAAACCCCACTACATCAGTAATGAAATGTAACATTATCAATTACAGATAATGATGCACAATAGCAACAAAAATACTCAGTTAAACAGGAGAAAGTCTACACCCAATATATTACTCTTCAATTAGATCAAAAATTTGTTTCAGGCTGAAAAAATATTTTTATTCTTTTGGGGTCAAAATTCCTTTCCTCAAAGGTAACTGACTGTTTTGCATGTGACAAACATATTGAAAGAAGTTATCCTTTTTTCTAAGCATTCATTTGGGTCATGGAAAATGATGAAAAAAGAGTTTCAAGACCAAAGCTATAAATTCTGACTGAATGAACATTTTCATGATATTGTGGAACCAAATTCTTAATGTTAGGTTAAAGAAAACATTAGAAGACACTGGAAATGGTCAAAGTAAAGTTAGACCTTTTTATGTATGAATCAGTTGGAACTAACCAAAAGCCCATATGCTGATGCTATCACACAAATGGCTCCTCTCAATAGAAAAGGCTCACTAAATCTTCTTGACAAGACACCCACAATAAGTCCTTGAGCAACCTGTAAGAAAAGACACATGAAAAATTCATCATTATTCACCATCATTGGGAAAAGACAACTGACTGAGGGGAACTGTAATCAAAGGACACCCTTCATACTTCATAACCTAAATTTTCTCAGATGGAAGATTCCCTCTCTAAATCTGTCTTTATCTTATGCCGTTAACCCCCAAGAGTGTCTAGCATGGAATTTTTCCTTACAATATCACCCCTGAATCAAACATTAAGGTCATGAGAATGAAGAAAATGATCACCAACTAAAGAGGATCACAATTGTTCAACAAATTCTCCTTGTCAGCACCTTAGGAAATGTATAGAGAACAGTATGGAGAATCTGCATACTGATGTTAGGGTAATAAGCATTAAAAGATGGTGCCCTTAGTTCACAGCTGTCTTACAATGAAAAAGGATTTCACCCCAGCTCTTACCAAACATGTTTTAATCACAATCCTTCAAGCAAGACCTATACATTCCACTCAACATCCAAACCCCTGGACATAATCATTTGCTTGCACAGGCAAACACCTTTAAATTGGCTCTTTGTTTTCCACAATGAGAAATAATATGCATACATGGGCATCTTCTCTTGCATGCAATTTAGTCACAAAGGCCTGCAAAACTTTCTCATTGCATGGCTAATGAAGAAAATGGCTCAAAATTAAACCTTTCACTCCCAAGATCTCATTCAGTGATTCTCCTTACTGTCTGCCAAACAATTCTTATGATGTCAGTTCTAAGAATTTGGTATTGGATCAACTAACAATCTCCTAATGGAAGATTTTGAATTCTCATCACTTGTCTACTTGATATTGTATTGATATTGTAAGGAGAAATTCTGTCTTGGTCACTCGTAGGAGTTGAGCACATCTTTCATCACTTACTATTGAAAGTACCCCAACATATGACATGACAAAGCCATTCTGCTGAGGCTCCAACTTGAAAAATTCCATGGACACTAATGAGAACATAGACTGGAAAATTCCAAATGGGATTCCTGTGATGATTTTGATGGTAATTAAATATAACACAGTTGGTATATGCAAAAGTTCTAGGATCTTCTTGATGCTAAAAACACTTGCAGGTTGTTCCTTGTTATCTGAAAGAAAGCACAGCAATTATGCAGTGATGTTAATAGAAAGCTTTTTAAACCTATTTTATATGCCCCATTTATGGGAGGAAGTTTTGATTCTACCTTAGTGTCAGAACCCTGGTCTATAAATATAAGTTTTACTAATGGCTATGAGAAGTAGAGGAACAACCAATGTGGGGATTTGATTTAAAAATTTTGAGGCATCAGCACAGCCTTAAGAGTCTGGGGAGAGCATGCCCATGTGGAAATTTAATATGCACATTTCATGGCATAAGTACAGCCTTAGGAGTCTGAGGAGACCATGCCCAATGACCCATCTAAGCAGATTTTATTCCAGTTTCCATAGCATTGCTACTCCCCCCTGGATGGGACACTAGTTCAACCCAAAGTTACCCCCCTGTATTTCATCAGGCTTCCGCGACAATTTGGCCACACCCATTTATATTCCTAGGTGGAGAGAGGAACTGTGAAAGTGAAGTGTTTTTAACCCAAAAACATAACACAATGACCCAGCAAGGTCTGCAACTCAGACCTCTCAACAGAGTCCAGCGTCAAAAACATTAAGGCCACTGCTCTACCTGAACATCATCAAACAACTCACTTGGCTAGGCTTGACCCTTAACCTAAAGAAAGCCTAAGAACCAAATTCATCGACTCACTTGCTTCAAGCTTTTCAGCAGATTTCTCCTGTGGTGATAATGCTTTCGTATTTCTTGGGATGAAAAGTAGTGAGATAATTATGCTAATGAATGAAAATGTTGCAGCAAAGAATGCCGCTGATTGCTCTCCATACTTCTTTGTGATCAGACCTCCAACAAAAGGACCTATCACCATGCCGATGGCATAAGACACACCCAGTTTGCCAAGTGCATCTGCCCGACCTGCAAAAAAAAAAAAAGAAAAAGAAAAAGGATTGGCTAAGCAATTATTATCATGCTAGTGTTAGTTCTGAGAATTTGGAATAGATCTCAAAAAGCAACTTATGTTTATCTCTATTTCTCTTCACCCCTCCTCACCACCACCAATACCCTCACCCCCCCCCCCCCCCCAAAAAAACATAAATAAATAAATAAATGTTTTGCAAAAATCAGTCATAGTCACAGTCGGCCCCAGTTATTTGAAGGGCGGATATTGCTATCCACTAGATAAATCTCTATCCAGTGGAAAGTGCAGTACATTTTGTTAACACTGATCTGCGGGATAGCCATTTATCCATTGGATAGCATGTATCCACTTTTTGAATAACTGGGCCCAGATTGATATGATATGAAGCATGGAATTTCCAAACCCTCCTCCCCTGCTTTCTCCATGCTTTATTTTCCCCAGCCCTGGCACTTATGATACTACAGTTATCAACATCAGTGTTAGTCTGGTGTAGTACATAGGTAGCCAGATTCTCCTCAATGGATACAAAAAACTAGCAAAATGATGACACCTTGGGCCACAACCCAAGCCAATTACAGCAAAGCCAAACTATGGACCATGACATTGTCCAGCAAAAGGATGGAAATTATCCCAGGAAAATGCTTTGCAAAGAGTTTTATTTGTTCTTTTTATTTCCCTCACTCACCTTCCTTCTCTGAGATATCTGTGACAACCATTTGTGATCCTGAGAAATAAAAATTCAATCTTATTAGCCAATGCATTTTGAAAAAAATATTCTTAGCATTAAGGACTAGAGGTATAATATTCATTTCCCTACGAGTGACTAATTTCTCCTTAAGATATCACCCCCAAATGAAACATTTAGGTCATAAGAATGGAGAAAATCATCACTGACGAAAGAAGGTCTTCACTGTTAAAAAATTCTCCCTGTATGAACTTTAGGGAATGTATAGAGAACAGTATGGAGAATATGCATACTGATGTTAGGCTGTAAAGGGATAAGAAATGTAGTACCTAGAAAGTAGTGTAAAGAAAACAGGAAGACATTCTCCATATCTGAATCAAAGACTTAACCCATCAAATATTCGTCACAAAATTGTGCACAGTGGATGGAAAACTTCTCCAATCTCTATGCCATAATAAACAACCTGATAACTCTGCTGTACTAACCTTGCATTGCATGCATGAAAATGGAAGGGAGTCTTGACAGAAACAGCATGCTTACAGTTGATGCCAAACCAAGAATCGTGTAGCTCATGGCTGCTGCCATAAAAGACAAAACCAGGGCAGCTCTGCTTCCAAAAATATCTCCAAATCTTCCAAATATTGGTCCACCACACAACTGCACCACAGCAAATGTGGTCTGAAGGTAGCCAAAGACTACTGGGTCAGCTCCAAGCTTCTTGGATAAATACTAATAGAATGAAAAAGTGAAATACACATGGATTAATAGAAATAAAAAAAACTCATGCTGCACAGACATACCAACTCTCACGGCAAATCTTGTCATGCTTCACACAGGTCACCAAACCTTTCCTAAAAAAACTGACATGACTGTTTCAGAACAAAGAGAGTTAGGGATTAGTCATCACTTATCCCATGCACAGAGGGGGGGAGGATTTTAGTGGGATCACATGTTTTTCATAGGGAACAGAAGGGGGGGTATCAGTCATTGCTAACAGAGTATGAATTGGAGACTATAGAAAATTGACTGTCAATAAAGGGGGGGTCAGCAAAATACTATAGGGCCTTATAGGGGGATCAGGTAAATTTCATTGTGATGCAACCAAATCTTCCAACTCCCTCTCTCTCCCCTCAGTAAGAATTAATAAGCCTGACCACTTAAGATGGCAAATTTTTCAAGCGATGTGACAAGATGATCTTCAAGTACTCTGTATTGCTTGAGAAGGACAATTCACAAGGTGGTTTGATGAAAAGAATGGAAAATTCAACATTACTTTCCCTTGACATGACAAGTGTCACAAGTTAGTATCTCTGCTGAATAGTGTATCCGACATTCAAGTTTTCATTAGCAACTGCAATTACCTAGAAAACCATACTGGCTTCAGTTTAAATTAATTTTGGGACAACTCGTGGGTGCAAATGTTGACTCTCCATCTTCATTGTCGAATGTCAGCAGATTATTTAAAAACTTTCAATTCCCGCTTTTAGCTGAAAGCTCCACGGTAACCGCAAGGAAAAATTTCTTTATCTGTAGACATAAAAGAGCGTGCTTTTCCAAGAAAAGAGGAAAGAATTCAAACTAAATTGAATAAACTTGATCTAATTCCGCCATTCCTACTGTTTCGTGACAAACGATCAATATTGCCTTAATCTTTTTTTCCTTAAGATGCAATTTGAAAACAAATCAACCGAACACAAGATTCTTCGTAAACTCGTGTATAAAATTTTCTTAAATATTTTCACTTACCGGTAAAACTCCAATCTGAACCCAGAAACAGGAAGAATAAATAACAGCGTTCAAATGTGTGTTTAAAAGTAGCCATTTACGATTGTTCTTGCAAGTTATGGTTGTGGTTTTCATCGTACTTCCTGACGATGTTATAACAGGATCTGGATCTGGGCCAGTTTCTTCCATCATGTCGGATCTCTTACGAACTTCAGAGTCTAGAGACATCTTCTATCACAATTATGATTCCCTCGACAGGTGACACCGACGAAACAAGTGTATTGAGGACTAAGTAAGTCAAACTTGCCATGTCACTGACGCCGGCAACTATTTGTGAAGCCGCAATCACACAAAGCCAGTGGTGGCACATTCGAATACGTGGAGTTTCATAAATGACGCCACGTTGTGACTGACTACTTCCGGTCTAACGTAATTAGTAGCTTCATTTCCTTTTTCAGAACATCAAATAATTACTTAATCGATAATGCCATGCGTTTGTCTATTTCGTTGAACATGGTAAAACATTTCTTAGATGGTGGCAAAAAAACCCTTTTTTCTCTTCAAGAAAAGATCACTGTAGCGTTACCATGACATTCATGCTCCCTCTTGCAAACACCCTTAGAATCATAACAAAAGATGTTTTTGCGTATGGCTGTAAATATATGAAAATTATATATGTGAACTGCAGAGAAAGAAATGAATATAAAAGCGATCTTCGGATTAATGATCACTACTGAAAGGCCCATTTTCACCCTTAATGCAACGCGCGCCGCAACCCAATTTCCCGTAACACGAAACTCCCAGATTACTGAAGACCTTCTAAAATCGTCTTTCTCAAGAGCCATCCTGGACAAATAGTCAATTGTTTTACGGTAAATACATTCGCCGTTCGTCGTTTTATAGTTTCCTTACAGTACTTTGAATTTTGTCCGGTAGAATCCGCAGAAGAATGTTTTAAGTATCACGCTTAGATCTCTACGTACTCTGAAACAGGGTCGGCGAAAAGGACAACGTTTTAATTTTTTCACCTTCTAGAAGCGCTTGAGGATTCTAAATAAAAATAAAATATTTTCCAATAGAAATTATTATTTTTCAAAGAGAAATATGAAAAAAATATCTGACTGCCAGACGTTAAGTTATTCAAAGACCGTGCCGGTAGAGTTCGAAAAAAAATTTCATAGTGTCACGCTTGGATCTCTTCGTACTGCGTGTGCAGAGTTGGCGAAACGGACAACGTTCAAATTTGTTCACTTTCTAGTAGCGCTTGAGGATTCTAAAAAAGGTAGAAAATTTTTCAAGGAAATTTGATATATTTCAAAGAGAAATAAGGAGTTCTTTGAGGACAGTGTCCGGCCGTGTAAATGAAAAGTTTCCTAAAAGCTTGAAAATAATTTATAATCATAAAACGGATCCGGGAATTCATTTTTCCAATGATTGTCCCCAAAGGAATATTCTTTTGGATTTATAGGACCTATCGTCATTATTTTTCCTTTTCCGGGGTGAACACTGCTCTTTATTGACTGTTTTCCTTATTCTTGGTAATCCTGTGTCACTGTGAGATGAAGGCGATTCTAATTCACTGTCCTGTGGTTCTTGATTCCTCACGGCTTGTGTGAAAGGGTTTCCTGAAACCAAAGAAATAATATCACATCAAAGAAAGATATCCGCAAGAGTTTCAACAGACTAGCTCTCAAGTCCAAAGTCTAGTAACAAATTACCATCTTTCTTTCTTACTCGAATCAAGTTTTCCCTTAGGCGACGAAAACGAAATACAGCTTTCCTGTAAAGTAGAAAACTCTGCAATTTGGAAGTCAAATAAGAAACGGGCTTTTGTTCACCAACCATTCTAGTTTCTACATGTGGTCTGCTACTCACTATTAGGTATCTAAGCTCTGTTAGTTTCGATACGCTTAGTTAATACACACTTTATTATCGTTTTTGTTCCGGTTCATTTTTATCAATAAGTATTTCGTAAGTTAATGATTATTACACAATCATCGCTGCTAGATAATCGCTACAAGTTATTTGCTATCGTTAGGAGCTAGACCAAAGTAAGTCTTTATTTCTTTTTCATTTACGTTGTTTATCTTTTGTATGTATCATTGGTGTGGGTCTCGTATTCAGTTTTCCCTGCAATCGCTTCATTTTTAGTTAGGTTAATGTTAGTTTCTGTTGTATTTTTCTTTAGTTCGAACCACACACACATGCAACCTAAACCGCGACTCTCATCAAGCAAAATTATGTCATGGCGCTATCATCTAAAATTAATAAAGATCACTGTGAAAAATACTAACGGGTTTTCGGATTTGATATCCGATGCGGTTTTCGGTCTTTCCTATTTGACCTATTTGGGTTCCGGTTTCTCTTCGATCTGAGCGGCAATTACGCACCTCCACTGATCTCGAATAGCCGCTAAACGCCAATTTTATTGAGAGGAATGCGCGACAAACCAATTGAAATATCGCAGGGATCCTTAGGTAGCTTAAGTGTAGCCGTACCCTCCCCCTCCCCCAAGGTGGGGGGGGGGGAGGGGATGGTACAGCTACACGTAGGGTACGGCTAAGCACAGAACATTGCCAGAGTTTCTTTATCAACGCCACCTTGAAGTTGGTGACCAAGTTACAGGCCACACGTGACTGAATGATTCAATATTCCAATAGAATCTCCAAACTTTCAGGTCTTAGTTCGCAAATGGAAATGTTAGATTAGGGATTTTTGATGAAACTTTCCAGAGCTAAAGCTTTTTGCGACTGCAAAATTGCGATCCTATAGAGGACTTTTGTGCGAATTTCCTTAATTAACTAGGCTCCATTACCAGCTGCTGAGTTCGCAGAGACCACGCTCGAGGTCCTCGAGAGAGCAGCTGTTAATTTAAGCAGATACTAGAAGATACGAATGCCAAGTCTATAGCATTCATAAATCCTGTGTAGTTTACTCTATATGCTTCACTTGTCACCACTGTATCGGATCGATCAGGGTTTTATTAACTAGGATTTGAAAATGTATCGGTTTCAGACAGTTTTGCATACGGTTTTCGGTTTTGATCGAATTTTTTCCGGTTTTTCGGTTTTGGATGATTTTTCTACGGTTTTGCGGTTTCTAATAGGTCCCAATGCCACCCTCCTAAAAGAGCTACTCTAGTTTTATGGCATATCAAACTACAACTAGCTGTTAGGAAACTACTAAGAGCTGGGAGATTTTACACCAGAGGTCATAAATTCACAAAATCGTACAACGCACACGAAATGCATGTCAAATGTAACCCAGTCATCGGGAAGATTTTAAAAAATATATTAACGATCGATATGACAATCCACGCTGTTGATGATGCAACTGGTAGATTATTTATTCATTTACACCATGTGAACTGGCGACGCAGAGAACTAGCCAATCCATTCGCGCCTTATCACCGAAAGGGAGAACAAAGAGTGATGTAAATTTAAGACAAGAAGGAAGCTAAACGGGAAAAAATTACCATAGCTTAGATGACAGAAGGTTGCGACCTGGTTTTGTATCAGTGATCGCATTAGGCTTCAATCAATGCAACAGAATGCCACTTGCTCGTGGCGTTAAAGACAAGAGTTCGATTATAAAAGTGCTCAGCTGGAACATAAACGGGTCAGGCCTGTCGGTAAGATTTTCCCCAAATTCTAGACAAGAGTGATTATGAAACGCACAATGAAACGCTTGTATGTGCACACAAAACACGTACCTTGTCCACGGAGCCACCTGGCAGCCTCTGCCTTATAACGTGTCAGTTTCCATTCCAGTTCAGACACGTGATCCTTGTTAGGGACGAGACTGAGACGGAAGTGAAATTGTGGCCACCAATCAGCTCGCTCGTCCCAAAATATCTTTAACTCCCTTGTATCATGAGCCGCGCAGAACTGGGTGAGAGCAGCAGCAAGTTTCCTCCAGGCTGTGACAAAAAATAGATATGCTGCATGGTCGTGCTTGACAAAAAGCGCTCCTAAAATATTTACAAGTCCATTTGATTGATCTGTAAAAAAACAGAGCACAAAGAAACCAATTCAAACGAACTGTTGTTCGATAATGCATCAGTATAATCATAGGAACGAATATCACACAAGTGGTCCTTTGAAATCTCAAGAGTGAGAGCTTACCATCCAAAATTTAACAACAGTTAAAGAATCAAAACTGGACTGAAACGTTTTAACCTTTTAAACCTTGACATCATCATCCATATTCTCCATACGGTTCACTCATCGACCTTTGATTGACAAATGAATCATAACCTTCTCAGGGAAGCCTCCTTTTATACCGTGCCTTCGTGTTTAAGCAAGACCTGACAAAAATTTTGAAAAAAAAAAACCCCCTCTGCGTCTTTTCATGAGCGCGGGGCAAAGAAAACCTTCTGAGTCCCCTTCAAAGAATCGAATCTAGGACTTTCGGATTCTGTGCTCCGATGCCACTGAACCACGGAGACTCTTTAGTGAGAAAGGCCATTACGAAGTTCATATGCAACGAGGAAAAAAATTACCATCTTTCTTATTCCTCAAACAATGGGTTGGTAACCTTTATTTTTTTGTTATAGAATTACAATAGGGACAGTTTTTAGCAAATTTTTAAAAAGATAAACTGATAACTCAATGTTCAAACTGCAAAAACAGGGTTCATGATTTTGGTTTGTCGTTTATTTAAACGTGGTGTTTTACAAACCACAGCAACGTAAAATGGCACCTAGCATATGCTCAATTTTTTACTGTTTGCCGTTCGCAAAACATACAGTGGTGTGAAATCCTTACAGTATTCTTAGGTAGGGCTTAACCCTACAGTTCAGTGCCGACGTACCGATACACTAACACGTCTCCAAGACAGCGGTCAAGCGTCGGGCATGCGCAAAGGCATCATTCCTAGCCGGCTGCACGCCAATTTCCCGCGCAAAATATCTAAGGAAAACGTAAAAAACAATGGCTGTCTCGCTAAATATGCGAAAAAAGTGAAACGCTCATAGAAATTTGTAAAAGGAAACGAATGTAGGGTAAAGAAAAGTCAAGACTTTTCGTACACAAAGCTTATTCAAGTATGGGTATTGGGTATTGTCTAACAAATTGTTTACAGTACACGTCGTACCGTTAGAATAAAAACTTGAAAACAATTAACAGTAATAAAACGGATCTGGGAATTCATTTTTCCAATACTTGTCCACACAGGACTCTTCTTTTGTGTTTATAGGACCTATCGTCATTATTTTTCCTTTTCCGGGGTGAACACGGCTCTTTATTGACTGTTTTTCTTATTCGTGGTGATCCTGTGTCTCTGTGAGATGAAGACGATTCTAATTCACTTTCCTGTGGTTCTTGATTC